AATTGACATGTATGATTGATACGACAATTCTCAACAATTTTTTGAGCTGTCTAAAAATAAAAAAATAAAGATTTGTTTTTTTTTCGCTTTTTAAATTTTACTAATAAATTTATATCATTTATTTTGAAATATCCATTAGCATCATGAATAAGATTAATAGTATAATTTCCAATACCATCCTGTAAAATAAAATATCCAACTGATGTATTTTCAGGAGAATTTTCCTGAATCTAAATATATAAGAAAAAAAATTAAATTAAATAAATATTATTTTTGATTTCTAACCTTATTATTCGATAATATTAGAGAAACATTTCTTTTATCTTTAATATTAATAATAAAATATTTCTCTACAATTCGACTATCTTCACCAACTGTTGTTACTAATACACTAATATTAAATATTGATGGTAAAGAAGATAACGATAAATCCATATCATCACGAACCTATATAGTTCAATAATTGTAATCGAATGATAAGAAAATATATATAAACTAACTTTAAAAGTAGTTAAATTAACAAGTTCAAATGGAAATAATGAATAACTATTTGAATTAAGTGCAATATTTTGTAGAATTTCTCCTCCAGCTGCTAAATCAATAGCTTGAAGTTTACCAATTTCAATACCACTTATATTACTTTTTTCAACATCAATCGATAGTGTTAATGTATCATTGATTGTTAAAGTCTAAATCAAATAAAAACAAATCATTCTTTCATTTTAAATAATTTTTTTGTCACATACAATATTTTCAATTTTTATTCTTAATGGTTTCGGAAACGTCATTATTTTATCATTACTAGTTAATATTAATGTATTTATTATTAAATGTTCAACCGGAGTATTATTATCATCAAATAAACGTGGATTTATAACAGTAACAATTGATGTACATAATAATCGATCTGGATTATGTATTGATAATTCACATGTTGGTTTTGAAAGCCTAATTCATTCGGATTATCATCATCATTTAATGCCGTCAAATCGATATCTCGATCACGATCTTCCATTAGAAAAACAATTTGTCCAAGTGATGGAAGAGAATATGTACTTTGTGGAAGAAAAATAGTTCGTGGTGTTTGTCTTCCATTTATTAAATCATTAAGTATATCATCTGATATAATACCATCAGGATTTGGAATAAATATATAAGTATCGGGAAGTTCATCAACATCAATAATTTCAATGAGAAAATCACTTGTTATCTATCAGAAAACAATTAAAAAACGTTATTTATATGAAGTAAATCATATAAAGGCAGAATTTATTCGTTATTATAGATTTCTACTTACACTCGCTGGTGGTGTTCCATTATCTGTACATTGTACAGTGATAATATAAAATGAATCTAGTTCATAATCTGGTGATTGTAATAAACGTAAATTATTATCTTCAATGACAAAAAGAAATTCATTGTTTAATAATGGACTTTGATTAACAAGTGTATATGTATGTGTTTGATATAAATCTTGATCTTCAACTGAAAATGATCCAATTAATGTACCAATTGGTGAATTTTCTCTAATAAAATTTTGGTTTAATTGTAAATTCACTGGTGGATCATTTTCATCTGTTATTGGAATTTGAATCCAAAATTTTTGCGATACAGATGGTTGACCATTATCTTTAATATTTATACGAATAAGTAATGAAGTAATCTGTTCATAATCATGTGGACATAAATCCGGTTGACTTATACACATTTCAACATCATTAGTACGTTTTAACTAAATAAATATAATTTTTTTTTCGAAATAATTATTTGAATATGACTTACAATTAATTGATCATTGTCTATGCTAAACATACCATTTGGATTCATAGCAATCAAATATTCAAATGTTTGATTATCCACTAGTAAATCTGGATCACTTGCATAAAAACGACCAATAACATAATCCATTGGAGAATTTTCTGGTAACTAAAAAATGAATATTGAATTAATAGCGAACAAAAAAATTAAATTTGAAATTTATATAAATACTGTATCAGGTACTAATATTAATTGAATTGGTGGTTCATTAATGTCAATAACATCAATAGTAAAATGTTTACGAATCGTATATTGATGAATTGGATCCGTACATGTTACTGTTATATTATAAACAGGTATTTTTTCATAATTAATATTATAAACTTAATAAAAAAAGTTAAAAAAAAAATTGTTTTTTTTGTTAAACACTTACGACCATCTTGCACAATTAAACTAGTTCGTAAAATTCCATTGACTATATCAAATGGTTGAGAATCTTCTGGAGCATCATACGTATGAACTGTACATACATAATTATCATTATCCTCATCAGTAACATAGACACTTGCTATTTCATAATCTAGTGCATTTTCTGGTATAGTTAAATGAACTATATTAAAATAAATATTCTATGAGAAGAAGAAAAAACAAAATTTTTTTTTTCATTATTATTGTTATTGTTGTTGCTTTTGTTTACTTGTGGTGGTGAATTAGCTTGTCGTCGTTGTCGTTCTGTTTTATCTCCATCATTTGAATATGATATGACAATATTCTAAACAATATTTATTAATTAAATTAACTTAAATAACGTGTTAGTTTTATCATTCTGTCATGATCAAACAAGAAGATTCTAATCATATTCACATTCCATATAAGATGAAAAGAAACAAGCAAAGGTTATAGATAAAATACAAAAAAGGAAAAAGAAGAACAAGACAAAGAATTTTCCGATCTCATTTACAATGAATGTCGAAGAAATATACTTACATCTCTTGTCTGTTTGTCTATCGTATTATTGTTATCATTAACTGGTATAATCAACGAAAGAACAGGAACAAACATTAGTGTCATATTATCAGGTAGAGCTTTTATCCATGTTGATACCTTAGAGTAAGCAAAAAAAGAACAAGAATATTAGTTAGAACTAAAAAATAATAATGTACCGATAAAGGTGGTTCTCCATTATCAGTACAAAGAATTTCGAAATATGTTCCATTTTCATAATGATTAATAGTTTTTATTTCAAATTTAAATGTTTGATTGAAATCATCATCGAACACCGTACAAAAACCTGTATGATCTAAAAGATATGATAAGGAATTTTTTTTTGTTTTTTTTGATATCATACTAGAACATTGAAGATTATAAGGTGATTCATTGATATCTTCAATATTAATCAAAAAAGTTTCTTCAATTAATTCCGTTTCATTTGAAAACTGAACACAAATTTTATGCTGCTTTTGTTCTTCATAATTCAAACGTGATTGATCCGTAGTCTTTGAAAGAAAAGTAAAATAAGCTTTAGTAATTTTTCTTTTCCCAAACACGGGAAAAAAAAGTCAAAATTTTCAATGAAAAAAAACCCCGAAGGAACACGTTCTGTTGATAGATATGTATTTTGCCTTGTTCTTTTCTTGTCTATCATTCTTGTCAACTACTATTGCTTATTGTGATGATAGATTGACTCTTCTTATATGAATATATTGTTATCTCGTGTTGAGTTACACATTATTGTGTCATCGTGCGTTTCTCTATACTATTCAATAAAATCTACACATACACATATCACAAATCAACTTTCTTATCCAAAGATGATAATATATATTCTCTTCAATTCTGACGAATAACAAATCTTAATCTATTTCAAGTATGTTTAATAAAGTATAATTTAATAGAAAAATCATTTAATATGAGCAACAAAAAAACAAATTAATAGGTTGTCAAGCATTAAGTTTTTAAATAATAGTAGTCATCAAAATTTGATTATATCTAGATCGTATTTCGTTTGTTTTAGATATATATAGATATGTGTTTGAATGTCAACTTAATGTCTTATAGAGATTAGAGAAAGATAGAAGAAGAAGAAGAAGAAGAAAAAAAAGACGGGGAGGACTGCAAAATCAAACAATTGTTTTTGACTTTTTTTTCAAAAGATTACTTGATCTGAGAAAAAGGACGCGCATGTCTAGCCCTATACTCTTTTTACAACAACAAGAAAAAAGAAATCCATTAAAAAATATAGATAGTGAGCATCTAATATATTTTTAAAGATCAACAGCCTTATCATTTTTTCATTCTATAATTGAATTATCTGTATAAGTGAATGTCGAAAACGCATTTCAAATTTTAGTTGAGTACTCTTATCTATTTATCTTAACATCATAGTCGTTCTTTAATATGTTCTTTTTGATTTTTATTTAGAACATCAACAACAAATAGTTTTACAAGCGTGACCTCTTTTTCTTTTTTCTTAGTCTTTAACTTTTTATCTTTTGTGTGTTCATCATTTGATCTATCCATAAGACATAGAAGTGTCTTTCTCTATTACCTATGTCATTACAATAAATTATCCTATTATTTACTTTACAAAAACACTTAATTTAACATAAAGTCTAGGTGTTATATATTTATTTATTCTCTTTCTATTACACATATATTTATATAAAAATTCAAAATGGTATCCGAATCATTTGATCTGACTATAACAGATCCAACAATGACGAGTATATCAACAAAAAATACTTATCATATGAAGAAGAAAATTTTTTGGATTATTCTATGTATTATTGTATCAATATTTATTGTTTTATTGGTATTAACAATTTATTTTGGTGTTAATCAA